CGGCCAGGACGTGGTCGTAGGACGCCAGGCTGGGGGCTGAACACACATAAAGTTCATTTTCAACACTGATCCACGGGGGGCTTACTACTGGACCCCTGTGTGTGTGTGTGTGTGTGTGTGTGTGTGTGTGTGTTCACCTATTTCCACAGCCTTCATCTCATTCAGAGTGCAAAGAGCTTGTGTTTTGGCCAGAAAGCCACAGCGTCGTAGAGCTTTGAGGACACTGTTGAAGGTGAGCAGGTTGGGCTGAACTTTCTGTTCCTTCATATGGTTCAACAGCTCCTGCAGACACAGAGAGAGAGAGAGAGAGAGAGAGAGAGAGAGAGAGAGAGAGAGAGACACACACACAACAGGAGGGTTCAACAACTAGTCAGGAGAAAGCTCATTTTATCATATGTGTGACTTCACCTCCATATGGGGATATTGACATAAATACTCATGTAAAAGGAATTGTGTCTAATACATTAATGAAACAATAATTTGTGACAAAAAGAAAATATTGTTTCAATGATGAAATGTGTCATTCAATTGAATTAGAAGGTGTGTCCAAACTTTTCACTGGTTGTATGTAGTAGAAAATAAAATGATAAAATAAGATTTTAAATGAGTTTTCTTAACACTTAAATGATTTCACACTTGTAATATGTGTAATATAATATATATATTTAACAAATATTTACTTTTTGAGGTCCTCAAAAAAAAGAGTGTAATGAACTTTGGTCTTACAGTGATGAGGTCCCATCTCTCCTTGTATTTATCTCTGACTTCTGGAGCGGCCGACAGCAGAGCGTTGAAGACGTGCACGTCAGCTGGGAACACAAGGTAAGCAGGAACATCAGTAGGTGTTGTGTTTTTAAATAGCTCTCTGGCGCCCCCCCATGCTACTACCAGGAATAACACCCAAAGGACCAATACCAAAGGTTAAAAACCGTTACAGTGAAGGTTTGTTTTCAGTGCTATTTTCTCTTGCTCACGTCTGTTGCCACTCACCGGTCACTCTGTTGTTAAGCATGTCTGTGTACATGCTGAAGGCCTTTGCATAGGCTCCATGCTGAGGAGAGACAGACCAACAAGCTGCACTTAATCCACAGTAGATGTACAGAGTAAGGACAATTTCTCCATAGCGACACTCCCAATGAAAAGCCCCAACATACAGAGGCCCTTCCGGTGTGATCAGCGTTAGTGATGTATGCGGCCATACCTTCACCATGCCTCTGATCAAAGCAGAGTAACAGTGCGTGTCTCTCTCTGGCAGCAGGTTGAAGATCCTCTCTGCGTTGTTGTTTTCTCTCCAGGTGGCCCTCAGCACGTCTGAAGCCCGACGGAACCTCGTTTTCCTTTTCCTCAGCTCCTCTCCTGGCTCCTCCTGGAAACACAGGGACACATTCAGGGTTCATACACATTTCGACCAATGGATTTCCATGACTTTAAACAAAATTTCCATGACCAAAACTGTTGTGAAATCTCTGTGTATTAGGGCTGTCAAAACTGCTCAAAAAGGACGTTCTAATATTCGGTTTAAAAAAACACAGATATTCGAATGGTTGCGCATTAGGCCGTCAATACCAATACAAATTGATTGTGTTACATTACTCTCTCTCTCTCTCTCACCGCCGCGCTCTCTTCTCAAAGCGGTTTAAATAAACGACAACAATAAACAAATGCAGAGTGCTGAACAAGAGTTTAGTTAAAGCAATTTAAGGTTGTGATTCTTGTCCCACATGGCAGGCTTCATTCAGTGATTGAAACTGAAAGTTTTACAGTACCGACATTGAACGCTCCGAGCGAGCTGCGCTGTAAACACAGAACTTTTCTTTGGCATGAAACGGCAAATAATCAAACCAGTCCATGAAGCTGTTGTAGCCATCTAGTCTATTTTATTCATGGAATATACAGTCAGTAGTCAGGCGCGCGCCCACCCGCAAAGCAGACAGTCGCGCCACTGTTTTTTAATTTTTTTTACATTCAAATATTAATTTTCACACATTCAAATAGTTGTTTTTAACAACTATTCGAATATATAATATTCGTTGACATGTATACTGTGTATACATAAAAAAGTGAGAAAATGTAGTATTTAAACTAACAATGAGAATTCCAAAAGCATACACAGTGTTTCCGCTACCTTCAATTAGGCCCCAATTATTATTAATTAAAGCAGTCGCCCTCGGATGGGGTTGCTGGAGTATTCCATGTTTGAAACATCTCATGTTCTGCCTCCATATTACTTATATTCTGCTCTTCCCGGGTCTTCGTTTGTCGTAACTCATGGAGGTGCACTTTTCCATATGTAGCCAACCACAGTTAAATCTACACTTCCCTGACAAGGTGGATGATCCCTGACCTACTGTTTTTACGGCCACAGAACTTTTCAGTTAAGGTGCGTTCACACAACCGCGGTGCAAATTATTTGCATTGCGAGTATGAGAGCGTCTCTCTTTAAAACCATTGGGTTTGGTGGATTGCAGAGCGACTGAAGTTATTCTGATAATCCATTGGTCCTTTTGAGCCATTTTTAACTAAATTAGACTTGGACTGAACTGAATAGGACAGTTGGTTGGACAAAACAAGACAACACTTTCAAATGTAATTTTAGACAAAACAAGTCATTAGGACATAATCAGCAGGTAACTAATAATGAAAATAACTTGGTTACTGTTGGTTGGATCGTGGGGGGACTCACTGTGTCTTCTGCCTGCGGCCCACCCTGGACAGGGTCTTTGTCACAGTAGAGACAGATCAGGTCTAACAGTTCATGGGCGGTTTCCATAGAGACCGCTGTGCCTGAAAGAATTCAAGAATTTATACATACATTCTTGTGATGCTGCTACATGTAGCAGCATCACATAAACAGAAAGTGTGTGTGTGTGTGTGTGTGTGTGCGTGTGTTCTCACCAGCTTGCATCAGTTGATCATACATGTCGACAGCGGCTGTAACTTTCCTCAAGCTGATTCGTTCCTTCAGCGCCTCCTCACTCATCTCCTCAAGTAGCACTGACACAGTCTCTGGCATCAGACACTAAAGACACACACACACACACACACACACTCTTTAACTGGGGAGCTTCAACTCTCCTGGACTGAACTTTTCTTTTTCGGTGCCCTGCGGTTTGACTTCAATCTATTCACACTTGTGAGCATCTACTACACTGTCCTGTTTACGTATTCACTCGATGTACAACACGTGTGTTTCTCACTGGTATGTGTGGTTCAGCAAAGTCTTTGGTGAAGAATTTGGGGTTGGAGTTGACAAAGTATTTTGCTGCGGATCTTCCAGACTCCTGAGACAGAGAGTACATCCTCTGCGAGGGAAGAGGGACAACGACAGGTGTTATAACAATGTTATTAGTCAAAATACAAGAAGAAATGTAAACAAATTATTGTGGCTCCTTGTAAAACAACATTTGTTGCCATTAAAGCAGGAGGAGAAACACTAATGGTAGGTGCCCCGATACAGTAACTTTATTCATTTCACCTGCACTACAGCTAATACTCATTTTTAGAATTTTGTCTAGGAACAATAGTTCCATTTGTAAGTTAATACAAATGAAAACTGACTGATTTCAGAACAAAAATCAACAAGAATCCAGGCAAATAATGAAAAGTCAGTGTGAGGTTTAGCTTGTTTTTCTCATACAAACTCATTGGAGGTCCTGGGGGAGAGGTACGGGTCGTCCTGGAAGAGGTAGGGATGTGCTGTAGGATCCTGGAAGGAGAAAAGAATGAATTAAAAACACACAGACAGGCGGATAAACAACTATACATCCTCAGAGAGAGGGATGGGAAGGAGCTCTCACCCGGCCGACAGTCGAAGCCAGCGTCTCCAGCACTGCCTCCTTGCTCCTGTTGAAGAAGGAAGTGACATTGATACACAGATGTGTTAATGCATATTTAGAACAAACTGCAATAATCAACAATAAGCTCTATGTGGCGTAGCACCGATTGACACGTACCATGTTTTCTTCCTGGGGATGACAAAACTATCTGTAGATTCTGCAACAAGACAAGAGGAAATGTTGCGATTTAATGTCCGTGATGTATCACAATCAAGTATAAACACCCTCCCGGATGTAGCTAACGGGTGATTTGGTCCAATCTGATGAGGGATAAAATTTCTCCCAATGCTGATAAATTCTCAACAAAAGTGAATTTTAAGAATCAGTTTTTTGTTGAATAATTTCATTCATTTAAAAAAAGGTTTAAAAAACAGAGTTGCCGAGTTGGTCATTTAGATGTAGTTATAAACAGCCTGTCTCACATTGCTACCGTCTCACTTATGTCCAAAGCATTCGACATTACCGGTGTTGGTTTCTGCGGCTTGTTGTCGCAAAGATGGAGTCCAACCAAAACTCCTGGAGAAATAAAGAAAGAAACAATGTTTCAGTGCAATATTCACAGATCCCCTTGATGCAACCACTCGATAGTATATTGTATTCTTATTATAAGTAACGTAAATGAAAGCCGTTGAGGGAGGAAGGCTCCAAGACGACCCGTTCAAAGGGGTGCTGAGGACAGACGGACAGCATTTGCCATGTTCGAGAAACATTCTGACAATTGACAAATATAAACAGTGTCAAATAGCTTAGCTAACGTAGATATAACACAGTTTGCATGTTTAACATCCTTAACATGTGTACAATTATTGTTTTAAATACTCTCAGCAGAGAGTAGATTGGTTTCGTAAAGACATGACCTCTTGTCAAAAGACTACTGTAGTAAACTTAAATTACGATTCAAGAAAGATTCTGCTTTAAACACGGCTTTATTACCTGTGACTCCACAACTGCTCAAAATTATTTCGCAAAAAATAGGTGTTCTTTTGAATATAACGTCCTACGTGCCGTGCGGGCGCCGCCATGTTGTTACAGACTGGGGGCTTCTGGGAGGAATAAACCATCTGGCCTGAGAAAAGGGGAGAGAAGAAATACCGCACTTTCTATTCTTAGGAGAATAGTAGATGCTATCCACGTAACCTCGGGCCAGTTCCAATTATAACATACAACCGCTTATTTTAAAAGTACAGTATTCTCTAAGTTTTGTGGAAAAGCTTAGTCAACCGTATTCACGTCTCCCCCTCAATCCCACGCTTGATCAGACGGTCCCACGTGTGGCACAGGAGCAACTTTTGCTTCGCATGTGGTTCAACTGTACGCCATGAATTTATACCAAGAAGCACCCTAAAGTGTGGCTAATTCTCCAAAATGTTATTTGCTAAAGAACTGCCATGGCGGCAACTGGAGGGCATGTCATTCGGCATGTACTCTGCCGAAGAGATAAGGTAAGAGATGGCGTGTAAAGTAGCTACCATGCCCTCAGAACAACATGCGTACCCATGTCAGCATACACATGTGTTGGCCAGTGGTTGTTACGTGAATGTTACCGGTACATTTGACTCGTGTACAGTAAAAAAGGCCCATCAAGATGACACATGACCGCCTAAATACTAAGATCATGCATATGATGAAGATGTCGGCTACCCCGGGAAATAGTGAAATAGCCAATCATTTGTCAAGAATGCTGTATAATTGTTGAAGCAGTGGTTCTGATCGTGTATTCTCCTCCTCCCGTCCAGGAAGCTGAGCGTGAAGTTGATCACTAACGTCAGGTTGCTCGATGGGGTCGGGAACGTGGCCCTGAACGGCCTGTACGATCTGGCCCTCGGGCCCGCGGACAGCAAGGAGGTATCTGCTCCTCCGCTGAAACGCATACAGGCGATGACACGTCCCTTCCTTCCTGTAGTTGCACCTCTGTGTGTGTGTAAAGCTTAATGTGTGATGTTTTTTTCCAGGTGTGTTCCACCTGTTGCCAGGACTTCAACAACTGTCCAGGACACCTGGGACACGTAGAGCTGCCCCTACCTGTGTACAACCCGCTGTTCTTTGATGTAAGCGTGTCATGGGTGCACACATGTTTACCCCTCTATGTGACATGATGGGATACGGGTATCGATGGACCAGCCCGGGGAGTCGCTACACATTAGTGTGACCTTTTCAATCTTTGCCTAAACGCTTGTTCAAGTCTCCCTGCCTTTGTGATTGTTTCTAATATTGTGAATGCCTTACTCTCCCTCCCCCCTACTGTCCTTCTCCAGAAACTCTACTTGTTTATCCGTGGTTCCTGTCTCTCGTGTCACATGTTAACGTGTCCCCGATCTGCCATCCACCTGCTGCTGAATCAGCTGAAGTTATTGGAACATGGGTCCATGCAGGAGGTCTACCAAATAGAGGGGGTTCTGAACAACGTGAGTTCACAGCGCTCTTTTCAGACCAGTCGGTGCGATGTTTTACAGGCTTCAGCATTCTTTAACCCCCCCCCAAATAAATGGAGGGCCGCCCAGTGCGAAAAGTGGCCGGTGGTAGGATCCTTTTTCAGAACGGCACAAGCCGATCTCAGCTGGGTATTTAGCGACATTGACCCGCCTCCTCCTCCTCATGTAAATTCCATGTAACGTTAAATGAGTATCTTCACGTCCATGGGTTTGCCCTAAATGTTTTTTTCTAACTTTATTGAGAATCAGGCACAACACAGCGACTTGCAAGCAGCGTCTTAAATAAAGTGATGTGTGTCTTAATGCGGCTTTAGAAATGAACACAAAGGAATTCTGTATTTGCTCATAAAGCCTGAAAAAACGAGTTATTTGGCCAATATTTTGATAACCGACTGGTGCCAGTTCTGTGTTTCCCAGTGTACGTCCTCCGACTCACGTCATTTAGTCACTGGAGAACAGGTTCTGGTTTTACCTGTTTAAGTTCTGTAGCATGCGGGTCAGTACGTTTGTCCCTTTGTTGTTTTAGTGTTCCATCATCCGAACGGCAGGTCACGTGATCTGATGCACCTTCCATATGAACGCTACATACCAACTGAGATCGCCTTGTGCCGTTCTGACAAAGGATCCTGTCACCGACCACTTTTCACACTCCGCGCTACTGAATAAATGAACCATCGGTCATCATATTGATACTTATCCATTGATGTGGAGGAAGGAATGTTAATATTTTGGGTGTTGCGTTGAATAGCATCGCTTACTTACTGGGATTGTGTTGGTCTAATACTCAGTTTTGACTTTACTTATTAATTTGCTGACTTGTGTGTGTTAGCACCTGGAAGAGAATCCCAAAGCCACTGGAGACGAGATCGCGATGGTGCTGAAGCAGTTTACGGACAGGATAGTTGGAGTGAACACTGAGGGCTCAGAGAGCAGCAAACCGGTGAGTCCACACGCACACAGCCAGTTAACAACCATTACAATACTATAACGGCTACATAATATGGATAAATATGTAAATGACAAAACCCTATTGCATAAAAAGGCATGTCCTTGTGTGTGAATAAATACATATACTATATGGAAATTAGGTTTAATACTTTGTATAAAAAGGGCCAATAGGGTTTTAAATTGATTTAAATAATGAGAATACAAAGAATCCCACATTCACTTTTTGAAAATGATGTTTCAAGAGTCAGCATTCAATACATTTGTCAATATGAGGAGTGCAACGGATCGCAAACCTCACGGATCAGGATCATTGGATCTGCAAATAAAAGGGGAAGATTGAAATATAACTTTTCTTTCTGTTCTTTAAGTAAAGAAGTTCAAAAGACTGAAAGAAAATAACTTTTTGCTTTAGTTTTACTTAAAAACAGTCTTCCTTTACTCCACACTCCTGAGTGTGTCTCCCCTGAGTCTCCTTGCAGCCAACGCGTGCAGGCAGCACAGCAGCTTCGACCGCGCTGTTTTATGGAAGTATCCCAATCATTTTATAACGTACAGGTGCCTTTTTAGTACGATACACGGTGCAACATTAATTAAGGGACTTGTTAGTATACAAGGAACGTCAGCGGTAAAACTGCTTTAATACTATTAAAGAAAAAAAATACTCATTGATCCGTGTTTCAAAAGTGAACCAAACCACCAAACCGTGAGCGGTGATCCGTCACACCACTAGTCCATGCGGGGGACAAAGTTGCTTCATATAAGATTTTATCAATATTTATTGTTGAAATCAATTAACCTCACAAAATAATGTGAAGTATATAAATGCATGAATATACTACAGTACTCACGGAGCCACACTGGCCTCGCTTTTATTTTCAGATCAAACATCTTGTTGAAAGGAAGAACAGCTTGATAAACAACTTCTGGAGGAACCAAATGAAGGGTAGGAGGTGCCCTTACTGCAGGTAACTTGATGGTAGTGCTGCTGCATTAAACCTGACTCGTGTAATGTTTAGCAATAAGGCTCTGTATACTTGCATATATATATGCACCTCCCACTGGCAACTGGAAGCAAATTGATATATATGACCAGTGTTTCCCCGTAGTTTACAACTCTAGGGGGCAGGTAGAACGTCCGCTGTTATAATGGTAGGAGAAACACTGGTGACCATAGTGAAACTGAGGAAATGCCCACTGTTGTCCTCTGTGTTTGTGTAGTATTAAGCTTATAATGAAGTCCACCTTGCTGATGCAAACAATGATTTGCTTTTAGTAAGAGCCTGAAAATATAGATTGCATAGCTATTGCTCCCAATTGTTAATTTCATGCTTTAATGTGTGTGCAGAAGCGGCAAGTTTACAGTGCGCCGTGAACACAACAGCAAGCTGATTGTCACCATGCCATCAGGAGTACCGACTACTGCCAAAAGCAATGGTGAGTAATATTTTAAGAAAATAACAGCTCATATTGTACACTAGGGCTGTCAACGAATATTCTAAATTTTAATATATATTTGAATAGTTGTTAAAAACAACTATTCAAATGTAAAGAAAACACAACAGCGGCGCGACTGTCTGCTTTGCGGGTGGGCGCGCGCCTGACTACTGACTGCATGTTGCATGAATAAAATAGACTAGATCGCTACAACAGCTTCATGCACTGGTTTGATTATTTGCCGTTTCATGCCAAGGAAAAGTTACAGCGCAGTTTGCCTGTTCAATGTCGGTTCTATACTGTAAAACTTCAATTAATGTTAATAATGTGTTTCAATCACTGAATAAAGCCTGACGTATGTGGGACAAGAATCGCAACCTTAAATTGCTAGCACAAAACTCTTGATCAGCACTCTGCATTTGTTCATTGTTGTCGTTCATTTAAACCGCTTTGCGAAGAGAGCGCGACGGGGAGAGAGGGAGAGAGGGAGAGAGAGAGAGGCCAAGGTCTGCGGTTTTGGCCATTAGTTCATTTACTTATGTTTGTGTAGGAAATATGTTTAAACTTAAATAAATTACCTACACAAGTAGTTATGTCTGGTTGTATTAATTTGCCCTGTTATTGACGTACCTACACATGACACACATAAATTCGAATATATGTGGGGGTTTTAAAAGCGAAATATTCAAATGTCATTTTGGAGCACTTTTGACAGCCCTATTGTACATGTGCCGTTCATTATTGTGTAACAGTTACGCTGGCTGGAGGAGATGAGCATATTGTCACCATCTAAGTGATGAACTGGGGAAGAGACTGTTTTTGTGGATGCTGTGTTTCACCTGCGACTCTGAACCACAAACATGGCTCCCATTGTGAGGCCCGTTTATGCACACGCAGAGTGTAAATAAATATCAACCAGGTTCTGTTTCTGTCTTCCAGCAGACGATCTGATGGCTGGAAAGAGAGTGTACCTGACAGCTAGCACAGCTAGAGAACACCTCACGCAGCTGTGGGAGAAAGAAGGTAGGCGCAAAAACTCCCCGCACACCAACCGGTGCGTAGACCTGAGCCCTGTCCCTCGTACGTGGCTCAACTAAGTCGATCAAACGTCCTTTTATCCAGCTCAAATTAACCTGATGATTGACGTCCGGTTATCTCGGTTTCTCAAAGGCTGATCCGAGCGTAAACACTCGTGACTACGGATGGGTATCGTTTGGCTTTTTTCCGATACCGGTGCCTGAACCGATAAAAAAGCACAAAACAATGGTTGATATTAAAAACGGGTTATTTTTTGTTTCCAAGACAAATTTGCGAGGACAGAGTCATCAGAGTGTGTAAATAAAGTTTTTCGACGCAAGCACTGAAAGCAAGCACCGAAATCTGCGTTGCGCTCCGGTACGTTAGGAACCGGTGCCATTTTGGTACCGGTTCTGTGTACCCGACCGTGGTTACCAGACGTCAGTCTTCAGGATAATTGTGCGTGCATGTCCGAGTTCCAAAGGGGGAAGAGCCGATTACCGAAACCATGATTTTCTAACGGTAGACGTGCAGGAGTTGTTCATGAATGCATATGAGGAATTCAAGACTATGATATGTTTATTTGAATCATCTGTGTCGTGTGAATTGAACGTATTGTACATCTTTTACATTGTTCATTCTGCACACCGCCAACATTCTCCCCTTTTATTTCTCCCCAATGAAAGGGTTTTAAGGATGTCGCATGTGTACCATGTCTGACTGTATCGCCCTCTGAGGCAAATTAGCGATTTTGGACTACAGTAATCCGTCGTTTATCGCGGGGGTTACGTTCCGAAAATGACCCGCGATAAGTGAAATCCGCGAAATAGAAAACTTTTTTTTTTTTTACAATTAGCAACTATTACATGTATACAAATTCAGTGACTCGCGTGTAGGCCGTTTCACTGCTCTTCAGACTGGGCCGCTGCATCCTGACTGCGCTCTGCAGTGTTCTCTTCTTCTGAAGCCCGCGGTGCAGGTGTGTTTGTTCGGGAGAAGAACATAGTGATAGGCAGCTGTTGTCGCTCTTTTTTCTTCTTTGCAAAAAGATCCTTGTACACCGACATGCCACCATCGATTACGTTGGAGAACTGTAATGAACGGCTCGGGAGTGAGTTTTTAGCGAATCAGAATGCAGAGCACAATGCACCAAAAAAAAAAAAAATGCAATATGAAAATCCGCGAAATAGCGAATCCGCGATAAGTGAACCGCGAAGTGGCGAGGGATCACTGTATAGAAAATTAAAAATGAATGGATGAATTGTGCTTGTGTCTTGTATATGTGGGTATGTATGTGTAGATGAGCATATAGAACTATAGGTTTGCATACGTGTGTGTGTGAATCTGTGTATAAATCAAGTCTCTTGCCTGCAGGTTTCTTCTTAAACTGTCTGTTTGCTGGGCTGGGTGATAGGACGATGTCGAGAGAAGGAGGTTTCTATCCAGACCTCTTCTTCCTGGAGCTACTAGTGGTCCCACCGTCCAGGTACAGTGAGATCCAAGCAGAGAAGTGACCAGATTCCCGAAGTAGAAGGCACATTCCCATTTAAAGAAACGTATCAGGATGGCCGGAGCGACGGCCTTGTCTTTAAAGTCAGCGTTGTAGCGGCTAACCTTAGTATAAACTAAACAGACTTACAGCAAGTAGCAGACTCGCCAGAGTAAAGCTTTGCAATAACAACATATACCTGCACTGTAGTCGTAACATTGCGAGGGGTCACAACATTAAAACATTAATATATTTTCACAAACCAATTTAATGTTAGCGGAGATTATTTAACCTCATCACACCCCTCCTCCTTTCTCTGTCAGGTATCGTCCAATTAATCGACTGGGTGAACAGATGTTCACAAACGGTCAGACGATCAACATGCAGGCTGTCATGAAGGACTGTGTGATCCTAAGGAAACTTCTGGCTTTCATGGCAGAGGAGAAACCGGTTCAGGAGGAGGAAGAGCAGCCGCAGAAAGAGCAGGAGGTAAGATGAGCTAAATGTTGCTGATTTGCTCTTTGTCCTCACACTTACGCTTTTATAAAATCTGTGTCTATAATAAAGACAAGCTGCAGAGATCATTTAAAAAAACTTTTCCCAGGCTCCTGAACAGACGGACCAGACGTTTCTGTTAAGTATCCCCGGACTCACGGTAACGGATAAACTCTACAACACCTGGGTTCGCCTGCAGACGCACGTCAACGTTGTCTTTGACAGCGACATGGACAAAATGATGATGGAGAAATACCCTGGAATCCGACAGGTAGACGATACACAGACGACGCCAACGTGCAACTTGACTTTAATCTCAGGATGCCGTGTTTTACCAGCGGCCTCTAGTCCAGTGGGGTCAAACTATTCTTAGGTTTGGGCCAGATATGCCCACTTTGACCTTAAGTTGGCCAGACCATTGAAAACATAGGCGTCGGCGTCAGTCGATGGGTGTTTTCGGATGGTGCACCGTCATTTTCATGTGGCATGCGCTCACTCACACAGTGGGTCACCGCGCCCTCCGGTGGACTGGTATGGGATAGCAGCTATTTATAATACACAACATACCGGCGTAAATATTAAACCCGTGGGCCAAAAGATAATTCCGGATTTAACCTGGAGTTTGACATATGCGCTCTAGGCCATTGCATCAACAAATAACAGGGATGTGTTATAATAATAACAATATAAACAAATCATAACATCCGGTCACATGACCCAGTGAAGCAGATCAGCATCAAGCAATGTGAAAGACCTCTTTGCCATTTAAGAAGAACAAAGTCCGTTGCTAAATTGTCGTCTCTTTGCCACCAGATCTTGGAGAAGAAGGACGGGTTGTTCCGGAAACACATGATGGGAAAACGAGTGGACTACGCCGCACGATCTGTCATCTGTCCAGACATGTACATCGAGACCAATGAGATCGGAATACCTATGGTACATCTTGACTGTTTCTGATTATTTTCAGAGGGTGCCAGAGCTTGAATAGGAGTAGACCATTGTAGGAGGCTAATTTTGAAACAAGATGCGGCGAGTCGCATTCTGTCCGACTAGGTCACCTGCTATAAAATTAGATTCCGGAGTGAAAGTAGCTTTCTGTCTCTCACTCTGTTGTGCAGGTATTCGCCACAAAGCTGACCTACCCACAGCCCGTCACTCCATGGAACGTGAAGGAGCTTCGCCAGGCCGTCCTCAACGGACCCAACGTCCACCCTGGTGCGTCCATGGTGATAAACGAGGACGGCAAGAGGACCATCCTATCAGCCACCAGCTTTACACAAAGAGAAGTCGTTGCCAAGCAACTGCTGACGCCCGTTCCCGGCCCGCACAAGATGTCGATGAAGATCGTAAGTCCGGTGCAATTGTATGCAACTGTTGTTGCGGTGAGAGCTGAGCCGTCATTGTCAGAGACGTAGACCTTGACTCTTGTCCTTTTGTATCTCCAGGTAAATCGCCACATAAAGAACGGAGATGTTTTGTTACTCAACAGACAGCCAACTCTGCACAGACCCTCCATACAAGCTCACTGTGCCCGCATTTTACCTGGAGAGAAGGTAGGCCTTTGGTTTTATAGCATGTTTGGAATAAACCTGTGAAATATAACAAATTGTACTTTATCCTACTCTCATGCTGCAGGTATTAAGGCTCCACTATGCCAACTGCAAGGCGTACAATGCCGACTTTGATGGAGATGAAATGAATGCGCACTTCCCTCAAAGTGAGCTGGCCAGAGCAGAGGCCTACACGTTAGTCGGCACCGACCAGCAGTACCTCGTCCCCAAGGTCAGTATTTGTCTCTTTAATCGGTTTTCTCTGCTAAATCAGTTTGATATCGTGCATGTATGTCTTTCCTAACCTTGGTTTAGTTTCTCGAGTCTCTATTATACTGTTTATTGTAGAACAAGACAGACGTTTCAAGTTGTTTTTTTCCCCTATTACGAAAATCTCCAGTATCAGGTTATAGTTAGTTTAGTTAGTTACATCCTCATTAGGTACCAGCTGAAACTGCAGCCGTGTCAAATTCAGTGCTTCCTCCTCTGTGGAAGCAACTGGCCAAAATGGCTGCTACAGTGAAGGTGTAGTTCATGGGCCCCAGGGTGCTCCATCATGCCCACTGGGGATAGATATGTACTACACACAAACATCAGTTGGCATGGGCCGAAATACTTCCTAGCCACAGCTATGGCTGGCCGGTATACGGTTTCAAAATTCAAAACATACACACACATTTTCACACACCGTCGGTGTACAGCCACAACAACTGATCTTCTGCAAGCAACTGTTACAAATTGTTTATTTGTAATAATAATAATAATAATATTTTTAACACTAATAATTGTACACTTACAAAATGACCCAATTAATTACTGCATGCTGGGTAGAGCAAGAATAAACTGTAAACACGGAAAGGAGGAACAACGAGAGACCAGAGATGCACCAGCACAACTCTCTCCCAAGAGAGGACCTGTGTGTGTTTAGGGGGGTTTTGGTTTTGAAAAGTTAGATCAGAAAACTCTGGTGGCAACAATAGAGAGCGAGTCGGCCAGTGAACAGCTGATCAGCTGGCCGGCGGCCCTTTTTGGGGTCAATGAATGAATATAAATAAATACCGATAAATCGGGCTACTTAAGCTGCCTCCAACAATGACCCCATTTACAAAACTGAGGGAGTTGGTCCTCATCCATGTTACTGAACCAAGTATTCAGCCACGACATTGAAAATCTAGCAGACACCACTAGGTAACGCTTGTTTTACTCCCACTCTGCAAACTACTCCCAGGACTCTTCTTAACTCTCACTCCCACTTCCCATATTGTCTTATGGCTACAAGTCACCACAGGATTTTCCTTGAGCGAGACTTGTAACAAACTGATCAGATCAAGCGAAAGGTAGTATTGTCCTGTCCATGTAAACAGGCTCTTTATAATAATAACACGTTAACCACACCAGTCACGCACTAAATCTGTCCAGCGGTGCTTCCCTGCCCGAACAGCTCCCGTCTTCCTATGTCAACAACACACGCGTTAACACGGCGTTACCAGCGCTGCTGATGCTGGGAATCAGTGTTTACCAGAGGTAGTAGCAGGCCGCTCACTTTTAGTGCCCTACACAGTATTCTAAGCGCACAGCGGTCAACACTTGTGTTTCTCTCCCTCCTTAGGATGGTAAACCTCTAGCGGGTTTGATCCAGGACCACATGGTGTCTGGTACGAGGATGACCATACGAGGTTGTTTCTTCACCCGAGTCCAGTACATCGAGTTGGTGTACCGAGGACTCACTGACAAACCCGGCCGAGTCGAGCTGCTGCCGCCGGCCATCCTCAAACCCCAGCAGCTCTGGACAGGAAAGCAGGTAACTGAACTTGTGAGCTAAGTTGTGCGATATGACGAGATCACCGATCATTATGGTAGTTAGGCCTGTCGTGATAATCCATATAATGACTTATCGCTCAATATCTGGAAATGAGTGCGATCACACACACGCAGAGCGGACACCCACAGGAGTAGTGAGTGTGAACCCGCCGTGTGACAAAGTGTGGTTTTCATGACATCTACAGCTGGTTAGGATAAACAAGTCCAAATGGAACATTTTGGCTTTAAACAAGTCCAAATGGAACATTTTGGCTTTAAGCTGAATGAGAGCAGAGAGCGGATAACCTGAACGAGCCGGTACGTCGACTTTGTTTAAAATCCGTGGGGAGGAAAAAAGGCAACACAACCAACTTTAAAATCTCACTTAAAACAACAACAACCATCCACCCAGTCAACCTGAATCACCGTCGGTACCTCCAGACTACAGGTCTGCCTCTTTGGCCGGGAGGATCATGCGCATGGCGAGATCCCCGACCGCCGTCCTGGCCGGGCCGGCTGATGGGTAGCGGGATTAGTTAGTTTGCCTCTAACGTCTTCCAGAATGATGAAAGTCAGAGCTCAATCACCAGGACGACCAAATATAAACAACTTTACTAGAATGTGTTTTTTCATGATGCACATGGCTGTAATGCCTCTGCGGACTCCTCTTGTGCTTTGGTGATTGCTGCAGGTCGTGTCGACGCTCCTGCTGAATGTAATCCCCCAGAAGGCTGTGCCTCTCAACCTGACTGGTAAATCGAAAATCCCCAGCAAAGCATGGATCCAAGTCCCACCACGGGCTGCTCCGGGATACAGCCCTGACAGCATGTGTGACTCACAGGTATAGACACGCGCACAGACACACAAGACATGTGCCAAACATAGACGGTATATATAGACGGGCGATGCGTCTCCACTTCCACCTACAGTAGTGCCATGAAGACAGAATATCCTGAATGCGTGTGCCACGCTGCACTGAGCGAGCGTCTGTGCAGCACAGATTGAGGGGTGTTGCTACCGTACAGAGGTCCTGTCTAGCACCCACACCAGGTGGAATTGTTGAGGTTTATCTCCATCCAACCTCTTAGAGTGACTAGTATCACTACGAGGCAGCTCAAAATCAACCAAACCAGCCTGAAAATGCCGATAATCTGAATCACCCATATGAGAATCCAGAGAGAGATAGTTTTTGGAGTCTTGTCAGAGCTTAATTGTTAAGTCTCCCGCTCTGTGACTACTTTACTCTGAGCTGCCGTGAACCCTATTAAAGCAGTTATAAAATATCATATGCAAATTTCCGGGTTCCGCAATTCCACCCTGAATCCGCTGATATAAGTTACATTTCTGTCAGACAAACCTTCCCAGAGCTACCAAGCGCTCGAATCACATTATCACTCTTTATGGGTTTTCAACCAAAGCACCTTGAATGCTAAACGCTTAGCGGATGTGTCTGTCTCTTTCAAAACATTCCCTTCCTTTTTGAGGGTCTGATTTCATGGGAGGGGGTGTGGGTCACTTTTGCCCTTCACCCCCAGAGCGGAGCGTCATTTATCCCTCTACACATTTTTACTGGGCAGGGAAGCTGGCGCTCTATCCCCGTGGGTCTGGCTCGATTCAAAGACTTCACACCAGATGATATGTGTTAACCCTTCTTCCCCAGGTGGTGATCCGTCAGGGCGAGCTGTTGGTGGGGGTTCTGGACAAAGCCCACTACGGCTCCTCTGCCTACGGCCTGGTGCACTGCTGCTACGAGCTGTACGGAGGGCAGACCAGTGGCAAGCTGCTCAGCTGTCTGGCACGTCTCTTCACCGCGTACCTGCAGCTGTACAGAGGCTTTACCCTGGGTACGGCACAGCTAATGAACACGTCCTCAGAGACGCGTCACTGGCAGCCATAGTGTCCGTCTGCGTGTACAAGCCATTTTTGCGTTTGTGTCCAGGTGTGGAAGACATCCTCGTGAAACCAGGCGCCAACAAGCAGAGGAAAGAAATCATTCAAGCATCCCTGCAGATTGGCAGCAAGGTGAGAGTTGATGCAGCAGAGCAGAGAAAACATAAAAATAAAATGCAGCCGTGTCAAATTCAGTGCTTCCTCCTCTGTGGAAGCCACTGGCCAAAATGGCTGCTACAGTGAAGGTGTAGTTCATGGGCCCCAGGGTGCTCCATCATGCCCACTGGGGATAAATACGTACTACACACAAACATGCAGTAAAGAGTGCTACTTATTTTGTAATGTTTTGGACAACAGCGCTTTCCTCTTTTGATCACCGAGTCTTATAAACATCTGAAACGGTTCTGCATGTTCTCTGACCGCTGGTAGAGTCCAACTGTTGCTTTGTGCGTCCATGCTGGATTTGTAAGAAGGAGCTGATAGTCTTTGTTCACACTGCCATGGGGGTGGGGCTAAATTAGTCTTATTTCTACATATTGTTGCTTCAATTCCAACCATACAGTACACTGGTAATGGCCGCTTGTTTTGGCCACTTGGTGGCACTGGCAGTGCACATTGTTTTGTTTTATTTAAAGAACTTCCCCCCTCTTGCTGCTGCGGCCCGAGGAACAACATGTGTGTGCCGGACAGCTAAGCAAGGAACCAAAACTCATATGTAGTGCTCGTATCTTTCCGTATCCAAGGCCCTCCAGCTAGCCTTCAACCTGCCCACTAACGTGGACCGTGGAGACGCCCAGAGCCGCTGGCAGGATGCCCACCTCAACCCGGACCAGAGTGACTTCAGCATGGCCGACCACAAGTTCAAAGAGGTGGCCAACCAAGTGAACAACGAAATCAACAAGGTAACCCGCCAGTGCTCTGGAAACGCCATCATCACTCTTACTACAACTACTGCTGGCATTCAATACAGCACATGACGGCTGATGCACTCTCTCAGTCCTAACGGCACCATAGCAGCATAGAGAAATGGAATAGAAGCACATGGGTTGTCTTCAGCACACTTAGAAGCTGTCGCACTTTCTGGCAGCTCTGCTATATAAAAAAAATCCTTTGAGCCCAGCGGCATTTCCCACCTGCAACAAAATGCAACCGCTGCCTAACTGATGGTATAAATGTCAACCAGCATTGCATTATGACACTGCTGCTGGATGGAGCGGCACTGCGTTTCCACTACGGCTGCTAACAATTTTGTGATAACGAACAATCATTTGAATAATCTGTCGATTTTTTTTCTTTTTCAATGAACTGGATAAAAAAACAAGCATTAATTGCCATCCCTTTTATTAAAAAGCAGAATTCACAGTGCAAACATCTTCAGAAAGTGAACAAGCAGGATTTGATAATTAAACGCATGTGCGCTTTACATCTGACCAATATTTAGCCTTTTTAAAGTGCATTTTGAATGACCCGATTCTTCCAATTACATGCGTTGTCCCCCTTGACACTTTTCCCAAGCGTCACCAAAGCTTTCTTTTGGCCTTGCTCGGGCCTTTTGAGTTTGAAAGCCGCAATGACAAGCTGTTGAACGGGAGAAATCAAACTATTTACCTAAAGTTTTGTGATCGTTACGACCTAAAGCAGATATAGCAGCCGTGAGAAATACGTGTCCCCTTTTTAATCTATTCGTTACATTGGCTCCTACATGAGTCTAGCGTCTCCCTTACATCTACTGTCAGCTGGTTAGCATGAGGGTCCAGATATCTATTTAGTGGTGCTCATTTTTAAATAATGTTGAACAGGTTCATTTAAACCGAGGCAACAACAGGTGTTTCTGCAGCGCCTCGGACAACAAGTTCAGTGGGTTTGTTGCTTCTCTGCAACATTGTTTGACTGCTTTGTTTGTGTGTTTGCAGGTATGCATGCCCGTTGGACTCCACACCTCTTTCCCTGACAACAATCTCCAACTGATGGTCCAATCAGGAGCCAAGGGATCTACTGTAAACACCATGCAGGTACCTCCCACGCACTACAATAAAACCTGATGAACGGCGGCCTATTAGAATACAAACGACATGTGTGTGTGTGTTTGCCTGTGCGTTTTCTCAGATTTCATGTCTACTGGGCCAGATCGAGCTGGAGGGCCGTAGGCCTCCTCTGATGCCCTCTGGGAAGTCCTTGCCGTGCTTCCAGCCATATGACCCCGCCCCCGGTGCTGGGGGCTTTGTTTCTGGAAGGTTTCTCACAGGCATCAAGCCACAGGTACACGTTGTGGGGAGCAGTGGTTCTCAACGTCTTTCCCCGCCAGAGAAACCTGTTATTAATCAGATCTCCTTTGAGGAGATTATGGTTGTTAGGCAGCGATCACACCGAGTCGCCTTCCTGTAGATGTTGATGGGGGGGTTTGCTGTGGGACTGTGAGAGCTTTTCATGTGGCCGTATTATTAACTGCTGGTTTGATCTTGAGCATGCATGCAGAGCACACCTCCCTGGTGAGCCTGCCAGAATTTAATTTCATGTCTCATCATGACTCACCCACTTAGTGAATGAAATGGTCGTGGTGGCGCAGGGGTACAGAGGGAGCCCAGGGAACCGCAAGGTTGGCGGTTTGAGCCCCGGCTTGCTCCATGTCCCATGTCGAAGTGTCCCTGAGCAAGACACCTAACCCCTAATTGCTCCCTGGGCAAAAATGTAAAAGCCATGGGTTAAAAATGCAATGTAAGTCACTTTGGATAAAAGCGTCAGCTAAATTACCTATAATGTAAAAATGGTAAAAATCAACTAATTCTTTCTGTCTTGTTTCTGTGTGACTTATTTTCTTCTCTTTTCCTTGTCTATTGTCGTTGCATTCAGGAGTTTTTCTTTCACTGTATGGCCGGCAGAGAGGGACTGGTGGACACGGCTGTAAAAACATCTAGATCGGGATACCTGCAGAGGTAACGTTAACCTGACTTCTGACCGAGAAAGTATTGTCTGCAAAGGCATTAAAGTCCCATCAGAAATGAGGAAATATTCATTAAAAAACTATGTTAGACACACAATGATATTGAGAAACAATGGACAACAAGACAGATAAGACGACACAGATAAGAGGAATAAAATATAATTATATGGGTCAGAATATAAGGCTGTGTGTAGATTTAAAATAAAGGAATACAAGTTAAAAAGTGTTAAAAGTTAAATAAAGTGCATGTGGAGTGTGAAGGAAGTGACCGGTGGGATGTCAGTCAGTCATTCAACCTCTCTCTCTCTCTCTCAGAAGTTAAAAAAAGACCGTGCAGAACAAATGCAGCACTTGCAGATCTGGTTTGCTAGCTTTCATCATTGCACGAATGCTTTTTTTTCCTGATCACATCTGGGCCCTGAAGGATGTGGGTGCGGTTCAATTTACATCAAATGCTTTCCACCTATGATCTACATCGTTGTGTCTTGCGACCACAGTTTGTGACAGTTGGGCTGCATTCAACCCATACGTTTGCTTTCTAAAACATGTCAACTGCTATCAAAGCACAGTTTGCTGAAATGACCAACCTGTAAGTCATATACTTTATTTAGCTAAATAGATTTAGTAGAAAGATCCGTTGGCTCCCTTTATTCAAGAGACAAAGACTACTTTAGTGTCAAGCAGACTCGTGGTATGACAAAATGGTATTTTCAAATCTTCATCTGAAGGAAATGCCATTGTTAAAACTTTGACCTTCATTGAGCTTCAACCCAAGTTTATTTGTGCCCAGCAGCATTTAACTACAGCAACAAAATGCTGTCTAACTGCCACATCCAGTGAGCTCGCTTTCAGCTCAGCTGTTTGGGCCCCGAAGCTAAGGAAGACACAATAGAACTAAACCCCACCCCCCTCCCCCCGAGTCTATACGACCCAGCTACATCCACATTACTTCGTCCACGTAGCAAGACATGTAGGTTTTAAAACGTAGTAGTGTAGATGCAGCCCAAACTATGTACTTGTACACTCTAGTACTTGTACAACTAATTTGGTAACACATGTTTTTCATACCAGCTGAAACTGCAGCCGTGTCAAATTCAGTGCTTCCTCCTCTGTGGAAGCCACTGGCCAAAACGGCTGCTACAGTGAAGGTGTAGTTCATGGGCCCCAGGGTGCTCCATCATGCCCACTGGGGATAGATATGTACTACACACAAACATTGGGTGGCGTGAGCTGAACTGGTGCTCAGAACTGTTACTTCACAGCTGCCACACACACATGATCTGGGTCTTACTTGATCAGCTGTCGCTTGTCCACTCCTTTATCACTTTGAAGATTAGAGATTAGATCCGAGGATGCTCTGTCCTCTCCTCCTGCTGACCTTGCCTTTCCCTCTCTCTCCTGCAGATGTGTTATAAAGCATCTGGAGGGCCTGGTAGTGCAGTACGATCTGACTGTGAGGGACAGCGATGGATCCGTGGTGCAGTTCCTGTATGGTGAAGACGGCCTGGACATCCCCAAGACGCCGTTCCTGCAACAAAGGCAGTTCTCTTTCATAGAGGAAAACTACGAGGTACAAACCAAGCCAAGACGCCTCCTGGGTCCAGATCCGCAACGCGGTCCGCCTGTTAGTGACCTTCTGCCGTTGGGGTTTAAAGCCGACTTTAACCTGAAAGTGCAGCTAAGTCGATGGGGACCAGTTGACACTGTCAAGATGTAGAAAGATCGCAGCCGTGTCAAATTCAGTGCTTCCTCCTCTGTGGAAGCCACTGGCCAAAATGGCTGCTACAGTGAAGGTGTAGTTCATGGGCCCCAGGGTGCTCCATCGTGCCCACTGGGGATAGATATGTACTACACACAAACATCAGTTGGCATGGGCCGAAATACTTCCTAGCCACAGCTATGGCTGGCCGGTATACGGTTTCAAAATTCCTTACGAATACTACAAATACCGTCGGAATCCGAAAATACAGTGATATGAATGTTTGTCCGCCCAAACAGCCATTTTAAAGCTGTTGCAGCTGTGAGCTCTGTTAATATACATGGTTGTCTCAAATAAATCTTTTTTTTTTTTTCAGTTTCAAAGAAGTTACAAGAAATATGACAAAACATCATAAATTACAATAAAAGAAAAATAAATAATAATAATTTTCAGCCCCAGGTTCACAATCCGTGGGTCCCTGCAGGTTTTGCAGCGTGGGATGTCCCCACAGGCCGAATTCATTTCAATTTTTATTTCGTCTTTGTAATTTCCTGTAACTTTCTGGGGCTTTGTTTGTATGCACCAGTCAACACCTCGATGACTTCATTTCCTGCTGCAGATATTTATATTTTAAGTTCTAGATCATAAATCCCCTTTCAAAAGAGTTTAACATTTTGGAAATGTTTTGAATTGTCTTTGCGTCCAGTGGTTTGATGAAAACATTGAGCGCTAACCTCTGCGTCAGGCATTGAGCCACGAGGCTCTTAGCTTAGCTTTGCATAAAGCTCGGGTTCCCACGCAACATATAAAACAGCTGGCCAAGAAAAGGGAAAATGTTAGTTCTCATATTTTCCTTGAGCTGAGTGTTACAGGCGCATCAGAGCTGATGCTGTAGCTGATAGTTGACTGATTAAAGACCTTCCTACCCCAATAAAGACAATAACGTAGTCCATAATAGACTAGACCATGGTTACGATCACCTTTTTATGGGCATGAGATACACCTGCTGTTTTCTTTTTTACAGTCCTTTTGTTTTTGTTTGGAGGAATAATGCAGCAGTTGTTCATGCTAACCACGAGCGCGTTTAAACGAGGCCCAACCACATAAGAGAGGACTTCTGTCCTTACGACGCACGTCTGTGGAGTTCCACCTCCTCAGAGAGGAGCGTTTTAACCAGCTCAGATGAGATGAGATTGTGTTGGATCCCGAAGACTGGAAGCAGGGGGGAGCCCTGTCTGTCAAACTGTCTCTCAATTAAAACACTTCCAATCTTATGTTGTTAATAATAAGAAAACTTCCATAGTATCAAACCATAATGTAGAATACTGCTAAAAAGTATTTTTCGTTGACCTCTCTTTGTCCATTAAATTTTAAACACTAAACATTATTCAGCATTGTCTAAATAGATAATAGATGGTTTCCGCCCCCCAACCCTCGTTCTTGTCAGGTGATCAAGAGGTCCCAGGGCCTGGACAAGGTTCTGGCAAGTCTGGACCCGAAGGCCGCCCATCAACACTTTGCCTCCATCAAGCGCTGGAGAGAAAAGAGAGAGAGGGCGTGTCCGCGCAGAGGTAGGTCACAGAGTTTGATTTGCCACTGGCGTTGAATATTTTATCCCCTATTCAAGTTTCAGTCATTTACGGTGACTGATTTATTACTCTGATATCCGCGTCATGTGTTTTTAGATTATACTGGATGTTTGGTAGTTTATATTCTTCTGATTTGGAGTTTGGGATTCAATAAAGCAGGCCTGAAATCCCCGTTCTGGTTCAGTAGAAGTTCTATAATTGAATCAGGGGAATCAAGGACCTGGACAAAATGTTGAATACCGTGTGAATATTTCTCGTCTTATATTTGGGTATCTGTATTTTTCTGCCAGGAGCGTTCTTGCTGTTTTCCCAGAAGAAGTTGCCCAAACTGAAGCAAACCGAAGAACGAACCAATGTAGATGTCTACTGCAGAAATAATGCTGAGTCAGAGGTATCAAACCGTAGCAAAGATGACCCTTTCTTGGACGTAGACACACCGTCTCTGCGGCCTCTTTGACCTTCTCCTGACCTCGCCCTGCTTGCTCCCTCCAGCTCTTCCGACTGTGGCTTTCCCTGGACGAATCTAGCAGGACCAAGTACACCAGGAAGGCGTCCCGCTGCCCCGAGCCCTCACTGGGCTTGTTGAAGCCCGACATCTGCTTCGGCTCGGTGTCTGAGAACTTCCACGGCATCACGGAGAGTTACCTCCAGAGCGAGGGAAGGAGGGGCCCAGACAGCGTGGACACCCACAGGTACCGGACGGGCCAACAGTACTTCTTGAAGCGAAGGCCAGTTTGGGTCTTAGGGGCATCGTTCAACTCTCTGTGCGTATATATATGTGTGTGTCTCTCGTCAGCCTCCGGCAGCTGTTGTACTACAAGTGGCAGCGGGCGCTGTGTGATCCCGGCGAGGCGGTGGGCCTCCTGGCGGCTCAGTCCATCGGAGAGCCCTCCACCCAGATGACCCTCAACACCTTCCACTTTGCCGGCAGAGGGGAGATGAACGTCACTCTGGGAATACCCCGGTATGTCTCCTCTCCTCATGCAGACAAACTCGTTATGCAGGGGACACACACACACAGGGATGAGTCACATGTCAACGGAGGCGTCTGTCTGTGAAGCAGATCTTGTGGTGTCAGCGGCGCCGTCTAAAATGTGCACAGTTGGGAGCTGTGCAGAGGTCACGGCGCCCTTCCTTCAGCAATACTAGTCCTCTGGCGTCTCACTCTCTGTATACGTCCACCTGTCCCGCAGACTGAGGGAGATCCTGATGGTGGCCAGCTCCAACATTAAAACTCCCATGATGAGCGTCCCGGTGCTGAACACCAAGAAAGCCTTAAAGAGGGCCAAGACGCTCCGCAAGAGACTCACCAGAGTCTGTTTGGCTGAGGTAAGCGTTTGCTTCTCTCCACCGCTTTCTGACTTCTGCTCTTCTGTTATCTCTTCGTTCCGTATTTTATTTCCTCTTCTGGCATCCTTTGGTGGCTTTTTTATGATGCTAGTACTTGTTCCCGTCAACGTGGAACCCATTGTGATGTTCAGAAAGCGATACCCGCCTACTTGACTCAAACTATGCTTTTGAAGGGGGGAGTAAAAAGAGGAACTCACTAAAAATCTCTCTCGCTCTGCATCGGAGCAGGTGCTGCAGCGGGTGGATGTGATCGAAACTCTTCGGATCAATAATCATCAAAAGCAGCGGTCGTTCCAAGTAACGTTCCACTTCCTGCCTCCAGAACGTTACTGTGACGATAAGCTGCTATCGCCCAAACAGATCCTCCACTACATGGAAACTAGGTGTGTGTGTGTGGGAAATTAAATATATGATGGCGTCTTATGTGATATACTAAAAAAAAAACAAAATTCTCCCAGCTTCTTCCGTCAGCTGCTCGACTCCATCAAGAAGCGCAGTGCCAAGCTGGCTTCAATCGCCGTGGAAACAAGGAAGGCCACCTACAGAGATAAAGACCATGATGGCGAGGGAACAGATGAGCCAGCAGGGGTCTGTTTTTTAATTGGATGGCCTGTGGGGTTTTGATCAGCCCACTCACTCCTTTTGTGCATGTTTCTACCCAAACATGTATTTCCTTCCCCCAAAATACACAAATATAAATCTAAAGAAAACTATTTTTGTTGCGTTGAACTCCTCAGTTGGATGACGCGGGGGACGAAGTGGAGCGAGAGGTTGTGGACGACCAGGCGAACGAAGGAGACGCTGACGCTACAGACGCCAAGCAGAAAGGCAAACGGGAGGAGGAGGTATGGAGATGTTGGAACACTCCGTGTTGAAGAGCCACCCCTCGGTGCCCCGCGTATGGAAAGCTCAGAAATGAATTGAACTGCTGGTTAATTATTTATCCATGCCATGCCTGAAGGTTTTCATAGATCCCGATTGGAAAGCGTCCCAACAAACTAGTTCAGACCGCGTTTATCTCCTCAAGCAAAAGAATCCTTGGATGAATATTTGTACATCAAGTGGAATATCTAGAGTCCCTTTCCTAATCTAGAACTAGCGGCAAACAGGTGTTCAGGTGTCTGGCAGTCCTTTTCGGCACCAATGAATGCCCTAAATAATTGGAGTTGGTACAGATTGCATGTTACAAGCCGTTCTCAGACAGCTGCTTTGATTTGTTTTCTTTTCCTTATATTTCTCAATCTGAGCACTGAAGTACCAAGTATCTCTTTTCAAAAACAGGAGGCGATGGTTGAGATTTCTCTATTTGCTGAGGGATTTGAAAGGGTCACAGCTCACATACTCAGCTTTCCCTCTTCCACAATTGAGACAAACAAACACTTGAGTCTTACATTAGAGTTCTAGTGGGGAAACCCCAGCATTTTTGGGGCGTGTCTTTTGCTCCGGTCACATTTTACACTTTGGGGAGATATTTTCAATGATTCATCTAGAATAAAATGTTTTTGATGCCGTTCGTCGCGCTTGAGTTCAAGACTGTTGGAAAGATGTAAATCTGACCATAATGCTTCTGGCACGGATCAGTGTAGTTTTGGAACCTGCTTTTCCATCGCAGTGGCGGGTTGTGGGATTACAAAGAGATGACCACCCATTTATTTTAAAACCATTAACACCCGACTCTGTTCCCACTCCCCAGGTGGACTACGAGAGCGAGGAAGAGGACGGAGCTGACGATGCCGAGGATATGGAAGACATGGGGGAGGAAGAGGAGGAGAGGGGGGAGTCGTTGGTGGAGAAAGAGGAGGAGCGTGAAATGGACGCTGCGAAGGTGTCCCAGCCAAAGTCTGCAAGGCCGAGGGGTAAACGGCCGTGTGGACGGGAAAAAAAAGCAAGAAGTGTGGAAGGAGACGAGACGCTGGATCAGATGAGGACCAACTTGGTCCTGGAGTCCAACTCGGCGATAGAGAAATACTGCTACGATCAGGAGCATGAGCTCTGGTGTGAGGTGAGTGTGCACGAGGGGACGAAGGCTGCTCGGGGTTGTGAAGGCAAAAACACTGTGTGCACAATAGAGCATCGACCGGCCCCACTTTTTCTGTCCGAGCCCGGCCCGCGTCCGACAGAGTTGGGCCCGAGTCCGACAGCCTTTAAACTATTTCATCCGAACCCGACCCCAACGGAGTCAATGCCTCAGCTGTTCATAATAATGACACATTCACAAACGTTTTTTTTAATAAATAGCCTGCCTTTATTAAACTCAGGCATCAACAGATAAATATACTCGCTCAAACAAACAAGCGCTGTTTGGGAACCGAGGTTCTACATCATGGGAAGCAGATGTTGACTTCACTACTTATTAAGATATTTTAAATATGGAATGTTCAATGCCTTATCGCACTGATGTGACCGAGCGAGACTATATTTTCTAAATATTCATCCCTCTAGTGCACAGCTAGTTTCACCCGCCAAAAATCAGGTTTTCGTTTTTTCTCATTGCAACAAGGTTTACTGCTGCTTTCTCATACAACTTGTGATGAATCAATTGCAGAGGACTACGTTTTCCATCATATCTGTTCCCAGGAACTTCTTCCCATTTGGATTTCCTGATTTGATTTTTGTGGTCAAACACGTCACTTCTACCTCACGTCCATCTAATCCTCCTCTGGGTATCTCGGAAACGCTTTGAGTGACACACTGGAGAAAGTTGTTTTTAACCAATTGCAAGAATTCCTAGGTCGTGCAAACATTGGTGAAAAGTTTCAGTCTGGTTTTAAGCCTCTTCACAGCCCCAAAACAGCTCTTTTAAAAGTTTTTAATACTCTTCTTTTAAACCTTGATTCTGGTAACTGTGCCTTTTTAATGCTATTAGATCTCACAGCAGCATTCGACACTATCCTCTTGTCCCGCCTGGAGCAATGTGTGGGCATTAGAGTTTCTGCTCTAGAGTGGTTTTAATCCTACCTTGCAGATAGATCCTTCTGTGTACAATTGGGGAGGTTTTTCTACTCAGTGGCTCCTCTGACCTGCAGAGTCCCCCAGGGGTCAGCTCTAGGCCCTCTACTGTTCTCCTTGTATATGCTACCCCTGGGATCGATATTTACGAAGCATGGAATCCCTTTCCATTGCTTTGCTGATGATGTGCAGGTGTACTTGCCACTAAAGGCCCCCTCCAAGGAATCCCTTCATGCTGTGTTTAATTGTATGACGGACATTAAAACATGGATGGACCTAAACTTCTTAAAACTAAATGAAAACAAAACAGAGATTGTGCTATTTGGTCGCCCTGACTTGGTCCAGGTCCTTGCCAGGTCCCTTGGCCCACCAGCACCTTACATAGGTTCCCAGGACAGAAACCTTGGTGCGGAGGAGGTGTATGGATGGGGCGTTTAAATTGGACAAGCAGGTTAGCTCTGTGGTTAAGGCTAGCTTCTTCCAGCTTCGGCTTCTAGCCAAAGTCAAACCTATCTAAACAGGGCTGACCTCGAAAAAGTCATGCATGCTTTTATATCTTCGCGCTTGGACTATTGCAACTCCTTGTATGTCGGTATTGGCCAGTCTGAACTCAACCGTCTACAGCTTGTGCAGAATGCAGCAGCCCGTCTCCTGACCGGGACGAAGAAGCATGGGCACATAACGCCAGTGCTTTCCTCTCTCCACTGGCTTCCGGTTAGGTTCAGAATTGATTTTAAGAATCTTTATTTGTTTTTAAGTCTCTGCATTACATTACACTACATTATTTATCCAGCCTTATTAATATACATCAACCCTCCAGAGCCCTGAGGTCAGCTGACCAGCTGGTTCTGAACGTTCCTCGGTCGTTCCTTAAAACAAAAGGCGATCGAGCCTTCGCAGTAGCGGCTCCCAGACTGTGGAACGCTTTGCCGTTTTCTGTGCGGTAAAAAAAAAACTCTCCTTAAGACTCACTTGTTTGGTGGCCTTGGCCTTTGGCTGAGTTAAGTCACCTGCATTGGATCTTTTATTTGTTTGCCTTTTACTGTTTTTACTGTTTTTTTTCTTGTTTTTACCTTTGCTTGTATTGTTTTATTGATGCTGATTGTTTTTATCCTGTAAAGCACTTTGGCTGGCCACTGGCCTTTAAACAGTGCAGTGACCTCGATTCCCTTTATCCACCCCTGGTGTGTCCCCCCCCACCCGGTCATAGGTGTGCCTGGTCCTGCCAGTGAGCAACGTACACTTTGACCTGACTGCGGTTCTTGGGACGCTGGCCCACAACGCCGTCATCGCGGAGACCAAAGGCTTGACGCGCTGCCTGCTGGGCGAAGCCACGACGAAGCGCGGAGAGAAGGAGACGGTGCTCAACACGGAGGGCATCAACCTGCACGAAATGTTCAACCACAGTGATGTATGAAAGGCACTTCTCACTTCTAAATGACACTGTAGTTTTAAGGGTGAGGGACAGAGTGCGCAGAGAACAATCAAGAGGGGAACCAAAAAAGAAAAGCGGTTGGCTTCTACTTCCATTTCAACTGTTTAAAAAGGATGTTTGCAGACACGGACTCGCGACTATTCAAGTGTGTTGGTCTATAGTCCGTTGGTTGGTCTGATTGCCCAAAAGTATCATTGAATAGGACCTCATTAAATTATGAAGTGTCACAGATTTCTTATGTTCATTCAGCTTGGGATGGTGGTGATGATCTTAACGATGCAACTATATTTTCCCTCCAGATCTTGGACATCAACAGACTGTACTCCAATGAGGTTCACGCCATGGCTAAAACATATGGGATTGAAGTGGGTCTGAAGGTCATAGAGAAGGAGATTAAAGACGTCTTTGCCGTCTATGGTATGTGCTCGCACACAGTCAGAAGCGGGTAGCGGACCCTGTGGCTGCCAGGCACACTCAGGTTTTGTTGTTCTGTTTCCGTGTGCAGGTATCGAGGTGGACCCCAGACATCTGTCCCTGGTAGCAGATTACATGTGTTTTGAAGGCGTGTACAAGCCTCTGAACCGGCACGCCATCCAATCCAACTCCTCCCCTTTGCAGCAGATGACCTTCGAGACCAGCTACAAATTCCTCAAACAGGCAACCATGCTGGGTGAGGACACAGAAGATAATGATTTTCTTTTGAGTGAGGATGAGAGATGTGTGACAATGGAGCCATTGTAACGTTCTGCACTTACTGTACTCCGCATTGCTGCAAGTTCTTAAAAGCAAAACCCTGGTCAGCCATAGCCATGTGCGTGGGTCACAGGGTAAACTCTGATCCGTGTGCATGTATACTGTATATCTGCACGCTAAGTGACCTGTAAGAGAAATTAAACATTCCACTTTCTGAAGCAGAGTGGCGTCCGGCTAAAAAGAAAGTGTAATTATTCCGTTTTGCAGGATTATTACACTGTGTGCACTATTATTGGCCAAGTGAGTATTTTGACCATATCATCATTTTTATGCATATATCCCAACTCCACGCTGTTTAAACTTGAGTGCTAATTGGATATAAGCATATTTGTGTAATGAGGGAAGGTGTGGCCTAAGGAGATCAACACCCTATATCACGGTGTGCATCATTATAAGATCGGGCAAAATGGGCCAAAAAAGAGATCCAACTGACTCTGGAAAGTCAGAAATTGTAAAAGGTTTTCCAGAGGGAAGCAGCACCCAAGATGTTGGGCGTGATCACAGAACAATCAAACGTTTTGTTGCAAATAGTCAAAAGGGTCGCAAGAAAAAAAGAAGCAAATTCACAGCTCACCTGCTCACCTGACCTTAACCCTACGGAGAACGTGTGGAGCCTTAAACAGGAGATGTTATATATTCGTCTTAGAAAGCCCAAAGTTTACTTTCTTAAATATTCAGATTTGGGGTTATTTTGGATTGACCGAGAGCACTGTAGTTGTTCAATAATAAAAAATAATCCTCAATCCAGCTTTCTCAATAATTGTGCACACAGTGTAATTCAAGGCGGTTGTTGCTGCTGTTTCGGTTCCCTTGGTGGTTTTTGCTTCACGGCTGCATTTCCTTTTCTCTTTCAGGTTCACACGACCAGCTGGTATCTCCATCAGCCTGCATCGTTACGGGGAAGGTGGTCAAAGGTGGAACTGGACTGTTTGAGCTGAAGCAACCTCTGCAGTAGAAGACGTTGGGACCAGAGGTCTGGTTGGATAGATGTGGCAGAGAAAGACCCTTCACGTGGACGGATATGATCTGAGGGGTTTCCGTTCTGCTAACTCAAAGCCCTGTGACACCCTATTTCTTTAACGAGTAAAGTGGAAGGATAGATTATATCAAATGCTCTTTATTATTTGAGGTTTTTATAGGTTTTACAGTTGAAGCTTTGTGTTTAGCCAATTGGATCAATGAGCAGCTGGTCACTGTATTCTATGAAAGGATGCATATCAAGAAGCAGCCCTATTCTTTTTGTATTTAATAATGTCATTAAACTTGTAAATGCGTATGAAACGACTGTCTTGTTTTTATATTCGTTTAATAAGATGTTTGGGGCTCTTGTTTCGAAAGACCGGAAACGTTTGCGAGACTTTGAGCCGCTGATTGGCTGAAAAAGGACTGGCATCGACCCACGGGGCGAGCGTCCGGAGGACCCGTAACGGTCGGAACGAAGGGTAAGAAACGCTCAGAAATGCGGTGCGGAGGACGATAATTCATGTAACTGTTAATGGCGGCGCTACGATGTATGTACTCAATGTAATGATTAACGTCAGTGCCGCTACATCAATGCGTAACCTTAACGGAACGTGTGTTTACCGTTAATGTGATCCCCTTTTTTAAAACGGCGTGATGTTGAATTTTACTGCTTAAGATGCGCCGGCACGCAGCGGGGAAGCGGCTCCGCTCGGCGGTCTCCGTGGGGAAAAACGCCTCGGCGGATTTAACGTTGGCTCATTCAGTAAAGAACGCGTAACGGTGGTTGTATAAGTAGTTCTCCCGCGTAGTTGGTTATTGTGAGATACACTATTCTATTCGCTTCAGCTGAAGCGCTTGTGTCTGATCCAGAAGGCGGTTATGAAGGCGGGCGCGTGCTCCTGCGCCAATAAGCGGTCATATTTACGCATTTCTTCCGACAGAAGTTCTTCAATCTGATCCGTTCTCTCGTAAACATTCTTCGTTTTAACAATGGCGGTATTGTGCTATGAAATGCGGACTCCGTAAAGGATGTAGTTAGCAGACCAATCGCAGCCTTGTGCGCTGCGGGAGACTCGCGTCGCAAGCCTGGACAAATGGGTCGACGCACGCAAGGACGCGAGGTGGTGTGAAAAGGCACGCAAGGGACACGCAAAGGGGTCTTGCGTCTGCGTCGCTCTGAAAAGCATAAACTAGGCTTAAAGCTCAACTTGAATGCTGCATAAAGCCGCTCAATGTGCTCCACCGGCTGCTGCCATGTTGGTGCGTAACACAAAATATGTATTTTCAGGTGGTTCGTGTCCAGGACCAGCCCCTTGAGACCCCCCATCCCGCGCCATCAGATACCCGAGGAGCTCGGCCGACATGAGGCCCCTTAAAGGCTGGCCAGCACGGAGGTGAGGCTCACATTACCTGGCACACTGTTCTTTGATACTGAGCTGCTTGGGAAGGTCTTACCAGCGCCCTGAAGATCTACGTCCCCGTCAGATTAAAGTATTAAAAAGAAGTGGTGTGAATCTAGAGTGCAAACCCACGTGTGCCAATTCAGATATTGGCAAAAGATGACAATTCTTCCTGCGTGCTGCAACAATACACAACTATATTGTCAACGTGGAAGGGAAACGTGATGGAATTTGGTCGTTCTTTAAAGCCGGTTTGTCTGTTACAAATAGAGAAAACACGTTTTTTGGCCCAGTCAGAAACGAGTCTCAGCACAGCGCTGTTAGGAATGGTGAAAGGCAACCGGTGACTCTTCAGCACATATCGCCCCAAGCAATGGACCTGCCTCCTCGTCCATATGAGAAGCTTGTGTAAATGAGTATCTTTTGCGACTGTGTTTTGGGCCTGAAGAATTGAGCCATTTTGGAAGATGTAGTAGTATTCGTTGTATTAAAAACACGCGTTTTCATGAGATCAAGTGGGAAAGTACACTGCTGTGAACCATATTTATGTTGAAGCCATTAAATCAGACTGACAAACTGTCCACGGCGCTACTTGCTGATCACTGGGACTGACGTGCCGTTCATATGAGCAGAACGTGCCGGGATTCAGAGGGCCGTGGAAAAGCCGAACGATAGAGCAACACATGTCAACCGTGCAAAGGGAGACCCATTTTCCAGTAACTGCTTAATGAAATGATCTATTATGCATACGTTGTTACCAGGGCGTGACATTAACATTCATGCACCAGCCACTGTGCCACAAAGCCACTCAGAAACTTCATTAGCCACAATTTTGTTGCTGGAAAATTAAGTTTTATTCGATTTGAAGTGGACCACGGTTTGCTCCAATTTACTTACAAATCCTAAATCTTAAGCTCTGTTAAGTTACATATGTTTTCATACAAAATGAGCTTAAGTTAAGACAAAAATAGTAGCTCATTGCATAAAACTGGTGCAGGGATGTAAAAGCTCTGCCGACTGCAGCATGCACCAAGACTTAAATTAGAAGATGGTAAAAATGTTTTTATTTATAATTTATATCCATAAAATAACTGCAATTCAATTTTTAGTCCAATGGAAGAAAAATAGTGTCCAATAGCATGCCTGGTAAAATCATAAGTTATACAAACATACAACTAAAGCACCACAATCCAAATAAAACAAACCATGCTTAAATCAATTTAAAGTGGACGATTTGATTGAAATGTTACTGTTGAATAGTGATTCTTCGACGTGGGTGATTCTTTAAATCCTGATTAAATGAACAACATTGTATCCAGGGTGTGTAGTTTTTAAAAGTCGCTAATTAAGAAAGAAAAACTGTAAATGTAGTCAAATCTATTTTTTAAACTTAATGACTACAACTGATTAATGTAGTAATCTTGTATTTAGTACAGCAAAAAATGATAATAAAAACATTGCCTTTGTGTCTTACATTCTAATACGTACAAGTCCTAAGATGCAGTAAAATGCTCTTTAAGAAAAATCTAAAGCTTTGAGCCTAATCTCAAGCAGAAGCGATCAATATTCCATGAATCGAGCCCTTTTCTACTGTTGTTACTGGCAACCTCAAAATGATTAACATATGACTTCTTAGCAACTGCAATTTAACCCAAAACCCTGAATCTTTTTTCACATTTTGTGTGTGTGTGTGTGTGTGTGTGTGTGTGTGTGTGTGTGTGTGTGTGTGTGTGTGTGTGTGTGTGTGTGTGTGTGTGTGTGTGTGTGTGTGTGTGTGGGTGTGTGGTAAGAAGGTTGGTTGTGGTTGTGGTTGTGGCTTTAGGTCTCTTGTGGATGGTCTCTCTCCCATGGAAGGAAACAGAAATAAGAAGCGACGCTCTGGACTGGCACGTCAGTCACGAACAAAAACAGGTGAGAGGATATCCGTTTTTGGTCATTCCCAGCACTAATATATATAGTTTCTATATATATATAAATGTAACTAAACCGCTGCAGTCAGTTAGAGCGGAGAGCGCACGGTGGTAGTTGAAGACGGAGAGAGCTTTTTGCATTGGAGGTAAAACAAACAGCGGTGTGTATGTCGCGAAGTTCTAGCAGAGAACTGTGCAGAGGAATTACTTCACGTGTTAAACAGAAACCGGGTGAGTGGCTAATGGACCACTTAAAGCACCGCTAGGCTAAGCTAGCTGCTAAACTACGTTCATCCCAACCTCTGACGTTACCCTGCACGGCACACAGTCTGCAGAGGACCTAAAAGACAGTGGTTTGAAAACGTCCTGCTAAATGTGGGGAGATGAGAGCGCGAGAACAGCAGGAAGAGTCTCCAGTTCAACATGTTCCACCTGGTGGAATCCTGCCTCAAAGATGATCATGTGTGTATAGTTTTGTGTTTACAGGGGTGCAAACTTGTCACAATTCGCCGTTTTTGTTTCAAAATAGGTCATTTGTGTGATTCATGTAGATCTGCAATAAAAATATTTTTGGGGGGGGGTGTCCGGTCCTCCAAGTAATCTACGAACGCAAGCTGTCATGAATATTTTTTTCAAGCTTGTTCGTTTGGCCAACTCGTGTCGTCTTCGGGTCTATAGCTGCCTAGATGCCGTAATAGACAGTAGTGACGTTGGTACGCTGCAAGAACATCAGTCTTTCCAACGTAGGCTAACGTGCTAATGTCAGACAGTTGGCTGACAGACGCCTCACAAATCACATCAACCATTTTTGCTGGTTACAATAACGGTGTTATCGGATAGTACAGTGTCTATTTCTCGGGAACTTTTGAAAAATCTAAGCGAGAAAACGACAAAAAATGTACCTACCTTACCGTCACATTAAAAATCCAAAAATAAATAATGGGAAATCAACGGAGAAATCAAAGGCTTACTCTGATATCAATGTAATGTTAGCAAATGAGGGGTGAGAAGCCCCCTCCCTCCCTCTTGCTAATATTTATTCTGTTCGTCCAAAGCAAAATCTATTCTTGAGGTTCCAAACATTTCCAAAGCAATTTGTCTTTGAATGTGAGTAGTCGATCGAGTTATCTTATGTCCCGTCGTAAACCTTTTAGCTCTGGCATTGGTCTCCCATTATTTATTTATAATGTCACTGGAATCAAAGTCCATTTTCCAGGCTCCTTCATTGAGGCAGAGGTTAGGTTTGCCTTCCGTACGTGCTTTTTCATTGTGGTCAGCAAGACTAAATAGCTTCTACACATACGTGAATACATGACCTATTCTATGGATAAAAATGACATATAATAAAAGTGTATACAAATATTTCAGTGATGACAAACAATGAGAAAGCAAAAGGCATGCACTCAATCCAGTGTGTGGGGGATTGCACAATCTGAGATGAGGCGCAGCTCGTTGCTGCCTCATCTCGCGAGTCGCCTCTCTGTTTGAACACGACGTGGTCAAATTCAGGGATTTTGATTATAAAAATGTTTGGAATGATTGTAATCATATAAAAATTACATTTAAAGCACAGATCAGTAGATACATATTAATATGTATTTTATTTTATCATTATTTGTTTTTTACGTTTCATGATGACTTGCGTTTAATGATGACGAGGCAAAATTACGCGTTGAAACGTACCGTTACGTCCCGTTAGCAAAAAGATAGAAAAAATTGTTTACAACGGTACTTCATGCCCGGCTGTCCAGTGAGATGCAACGTTACAACACTTCAGTGAGATGCAACGTTACAACACTTCAGGAAGCTGCACTCCTTTTACGGTAAGCAATCGTTTCTGACGTAATTATGCAGGTGTTAAGGTTAACTTGTCAAGTTAGATTTTTCTTTTAGCTTGCCAACGTAGTTAGCTAGCCAAGTTTTTAAATGCCCTTTTATACCTTTACTGTTAATAATATGCCTGTTTATTGCGATGTAAAGCACGTTTGAGTTGTCCTAAGTATGAAGCCTAGCTAGCAAACTTTCTCTCCCACTTCAGTTTGCTTTCAGAATGAGGTGCCAGTACCACTCTTTGAAAGGGTAGCAAATGCAGAAGTGAGTGTTGGTTAGCCAGTATGTGCCAGTTGTTATCATAGATCATTAAAGTATTAAGCCTAGATAAGCAGACAAGGAAATCGTTTTTTATAAAGAAGTATTATTTACATGTGCTTTGCAAAGGGTATCATATAAAATACTAAAACATTTTTTTTTTCAGGCACTGGTTCTTGGAACGATTGCAGAACATTCCCTCCCACTATCTGTAGCTCCTGTCATTGTTGAGCTTGCCCAGACACTGGCTCGGGATAAACCAGCTTTGACGGGCATGAAGCTGTCCCGGACTGCTGCCTCATACAAGATGGTCCAAGGCCTGGGCCACACCTTCTCAGAGAAGACGTTTGAGAGCATCCGGTCAACACCATTCTCAATTAACTTAGATGAGAGCACATCAAACTCCAATAAGAAGGTGTTGTCCATTCGTGTGTGCTATTTCAATCAAGAGCTGAAGCATGTGGTAGTTGAACACCATGGCTCCATTGAAGTCCTAAAGGGCACTGCTCAGTATTTGGAAACGGCCTTGGTGACCTTTTTCAATGACCATAAAATTCCTTTTGCCAACCTTATCAGTATGATGATGGACTCCTGTAATGTCATGCGTGGGAGCAAGTCTGGGCTGGAGACCAGAATCAGAGGGACGCACTGCCAGAACCTCTTGGATGTTGATGGAGATTCTTGGCACCACATCCACAATGCCGCCAAACAGTTTGCTGCCCCCTTCGGCCACCACCTCAAGCAGCTCTTCGCTAACCTTCACAGACCACCAGTGGGCTTCATACAAGTTGAAATACCTGATTGAGATCTGTGACTTTATGGGCATTCATGGAACGAACCCACAACGGTTTGCGGCACATCGGTGGCTTTCGGCTTATGATGTGGGGATCAGCACTCGCCGAATGTTGCCTGCATACAAGGTCCTTTACTTTGGATTCCTCAGGCAGACAAGACCCTTTATGAAGACGTCCTACAGGAGATCTACAAGGACCATAGTGTTGGTGCGCAGGCAAAGGCCAGGATCCAGTATTTCCATCAGGACCTCTCCAAAAAAGGAATGACACAAGTTGGTAAGGACAGAAAAGGGAGGGTGGTGAAGAAACTCTGGTTCGAGAGTCTCAACACTAACCTCCAGCTGAGCGTTTACCTAGGCGTCCTTGACATCCTCAAGGAGTATGTGATGGTGTTCCAGGGTAGCCAAACCCTTGTCCACAAACTGCATGACAAGCAGCTTGGAGTGGTCAACAATTTCATGGCCTGCTTTATCAAGGCTGAGCATCTTCACACCACTCCAAAGAAGCTCATGGAGATGGAGTTCAGGGACAAAATGCTGCCTCAGGGAGCTTTATTGTCGGACCGGTGGCTGAGAAACTGAAGGCAGAAAATCCAAGTCATCCGATTGTGCTGCAGTTTCTCTACACAGTGAAGACTGCATACATGTCAACCGCAGCCTACATGCAGAAAAAGCTGCCACTGAACAGCAGGACCCTACAGGCACTGTCTGCTCTGGACCCATTGGTGAGAGGCCACTCAGAGACTGGCATACTGCTGAAGCGGCTGTCAGGGCCAGGGATGATGGGCCACTTGGTGCCACCCCAGTGTGACGTGCCACTGGAAGTGGTGAAATTCAATGTGGATTCCACCCTTCCCCTGTATATTGATGGTGACAACATGGTAAACTGGTGGGCAAATGTAATGGACACTGGCAGGTACCCAGGCCTAAACCATGTGGTTCGAGGGGCTCTCTCCATTTTCCACAGACCCATGGTAGAGTCATCATTTAGTGCCATGGGAGACCTAATTACCAGCAAAAGCACTAAAATGAGCATGGCTACCTACAATGCTATCCAGACAACTAAATATGCCCTCAGGTCCAGGAGTCAGACAGCCATCCAGATGTTTAAGAGTGATGACGTGAAGCTCTCCAGGGTCGATAAGGTCCTCTGCAGGAGCATCCACACTGCAGGAACAACAGACAAGGCTTGCAGACAAAAGGCCTTGTTGAAGAAAAAAGAGAGGCATGAAGAGTTTGAGTGCCAGCCATCAACCAGTGGTGTGCAAAGCAGGAAGACTGCAGTGGAGGAGGACAGGCAAGCCAAATTGAGGCACGTAACCGCTCAAAAGCGGAAAAAAGCACTGGAAGTACTGCTACAGGCAAAGAAGGCAAAAAGATTTGAGATTTTTCTGCCTTTTTAACAGTGTACCTAACAACATGTTTATATTATTTTGTTTTGTGTGTAATTCAATATTGTATAAAGATGTTTAAATATTTTGTTGTGTTTCTGTCAAGGGATGCTGGGTTGGGGTGGGGGGAGCCAAATGGGAAGGGAGTTATGTAGGAAGTATTTCAAATGTTGATTCTGTGAGTTATCCATGTAAAATTCTAATAAACAGAAGTACAAAAAAAAAATAAAGAACTGGCTTTATATCCCTTTCCCTTGTTCGAATGAACTTTTAACGTCCACTTTTTTAATCCATTCCTCCCACTTTACTTTTCCTTACTGCTCTGCACCAAGCCAGTTGCTAAGACACACGTGGTCACTTACATTTTTAGATGATAAAGAACTTTTCTTCTCAATATAACTAGCAAAAGAGAACCTCCTTTCACAGTGTGAGCCTGCATTTTGTTGGGTGAGAGCATCGTAGTCTGCCGGAATCTTTCCGGATGTAGTACTTCATGCTCATAGTACTCCTGGGATAAGATACTTACAGATAGCTTTGCTTTTATTGACTACGCCGTCTAGTAAATGTTTGAAGTGAAAATGTCCATTCCGAAGTTTTCCTAACCCAAGCGTTTCCCTCGCAGCAGTTGCATGAGTACGTGCAGAGAGTCCTGGAGAGTCCGTGTCGTCCCGGCAGTACCAGGGCGAGAATGTTGGATCGACTCCCCGCTTCCAGTCGCACGACCCAGCCGTTCCTGTGGAAGGACACGCCGCTCCCCGACAACCTCTTCCAGTACTCGCTGCCGTTTGGCTTCAGAGGTGTGCAGGGCAAAGTGGAGGACCTGCTGAAGCAGGTGAGGGAGGTCTACTGAGCATTCAGTCAGTTACACAGTGACCAAACATTGCTTATCTAACCGCCGCTGTTCAGGGCTCCATCAGTTAGTCGCAGTCGATTTCTCTGCATCAATTGTATTTGACTCTTAATGGAACGTCTTTACCAAATGAACGTCATGCTGTATTGAAGAAGACTGTGGGCAGTAGAGGGAATGCCGATTTTAAGACACTTCCACATCTGCTTTACTTGACAGAACCTGTTTGGCGTAGCTCAGTCATCTCCATGCACTTTTTAAATAATTATAGAATTTACATCTAAATGTTTGCATTGAGAAACATAACAAACCAAAAGTGCTTCTTTATGTTCTTGTCAGCTTACTGTTTTTCCAACCACAGACTCTATGATTCAAGCTGTGATTTCTGTGCTTCCTCTTCAAGCTGCCGAACTCTGCCTCTGCGCCAGAAACGATGATGGCGGATAAATGTCTCCGCTGTGTGATTGTGGGAAATGGAGGCGTTCTCCGAGGCCTGGAGCTTGGCCATCACATCAACCAGTTCGACACGATTATCAGGTTAGAAGCCTGTGCGGTCATGTAACCCTGATAGTGCATATTTGACTGTAGCTCCACATGTTCGGGTCATTACTATTTTTGCCGACTCGCCCAACAAACCCATATAACTCTGTTTTTCACACATCAAATCAACAACCCTCCTCCAGGTTGAACAGTGGCCCACTGGGAGAGTTCAGCGTTGACGTGGGGAATCGGACCAGCATCAGGATGAGTTACCCAGAGGGCACGCCTCTGCACTGGATCGACACCGACCCACACACCCTGTTTGTAGCTGTGGCGTACAAGGGCGGGGACATCAGCTGGATCTCTGCCATGATCAACAAGCTCTCTGTGGTGAGTGTGTGAGAACATGCGTGTGTGTGAGTGAGAGAACATCTGTGTGTGTGTGTGTGTGTGTGTGTGTGTGTGTGTGTGTGTGTGTGTGTGTGTGTGTGTGTGTGTGTGTGTGTGTGTGTGTGTGTGTGTGTGTGTGTGTGTGTGTGTGTGTGAGAACATGCGTGTGTGAGAGAACATGTGTGTGTGTGTGTGTGTGTTTGTGTGAGAGAACGTGTGTGTGTGTGTGTGTGTGTGTGAGAGAACGTGTGTGTGTGTGTGTGAGAGAACGTGTGTGTGTGAGTGAGAACATGCGTGTGTCAGGGTTCCCGCTAGGGTGGCCATTTCCTTCACGTCAAAAAGGAGGACACTTTGCATACACGCTTCTGCGTCGTTGCGTTGACGCACTCGTTTCAATTCATGGTTCTAAGTCTTGCGTGTGTTGCAGAGCAATTCACCGTCACAACAACAGGCGGAGTAACGTGTTTTGTTGAAGACGACCTAGAGAATCACGTCTATTTATTTATTTGTTTATTTATTCATCATAGACTTTATTGCCCCGTGCATCGCCACTGCTGCTTTTCATCGCAGACACATTTGTCCTCCACAACCACAACACATTTTCCTCCACAACTTTGTGCACCTCTCGACCGGCAAATCGGGCTATGAAAGCGGAAATGTGAGACTCCGTAAAGGATGTAGTTAGCGGACCAATCACAGCCTTGTGCGCTGCGGGAGGCTTGCGTTACTTTCGACGCAAGCCTAGAAACACATGCATGGACGCAAGGAGGTGTGAAAAGCGACGCAAGGGACACGCAAGGGGGTCTTGCGTGTCCCTTGGCTTCAGTCAGCTGTAACAAGTTTCATTTCAACACCAGACACCCAAAAGGCAGAGGTACTGTGGGTTCTCCACACTGTGACGAGGCACAGTTCATTTAAATCTAATGATGACATACTAATGATGTCTTTGCTGCCATGTTCCCCGATTCGCAATGCATTGTGTTGTTTAGTGTAATCCAAACGTATGTATGTTATGTTGGCTCTGTTCTGCATCACAAAGGAATCACTTTGATTGTTTATATCTATATTGGCCAAACAGTGTTGGAAGGGTTATTGTCAGTTACTGGAGATGCACTGCGTCCACAACGTGCTAATAAACTAGCGTTTTGCTAGCTTGGAAATTATTGGTTGATAGCACACTGGCTGGCTGGCAGACAAACAACAGACTTGCACAAAAGTTGTGCATTGAAAGTACGCTTTCTCGTGATCTTACTATATTTCACAATTAAAAACGAGGCAACGAGGTGTCCGTATCGATGCCCCCTTCTCGTTCCAAACTCGCCGGTCCGTAGATTGCGTCCATCATATCTAGCCACTTCCAATTTTTTCTGTAAACACCACTCCGGCTGTTGTGGTCTTTCACCTTACGGTAGTCACTCCGCAGTTTCTTGCATTTAATGCGGCACTGCTCGGATGTCCGCTGGTAACCCTCGACTGCCATCCTCTCAGAAACATGCTGAAAAACCTTTTTGTTTCTCACCATGCCATCGAATTCCCTTTGCACCCTTTCTTCACCGATGATACCCAAGAATTCAAAAACGGATCCGCCATCTTCACAAAGAGTTCTTCGTATTTAAAACGAAGAAGACCTTGCACGTTGGAGATCAGAGTTGGGACACCTCTGTGCTTTGTGTTGCAGCCCCTGTGGGATTGGCTCTTCTTCTGGCAGAAGGTTCCAGATGGAGTCCCTCTAGAGCCCCACCGGTTCAGACTTCTAAACCCACTGGTCATCACAGAGACCGCGTTGGACCTGCTGCACTACCCTCCACCCACAGGAGGCCTGTGGGGATGGGAGAAGGTAATACACCCGTGGGGTCAGAGGTGAAGGAGTTTGACTCTGCACAACGCATGTTACTATTAGTCCGTAGCGAGCGACCTCTGGTGGGGCGGGCGGTGCATTACAATACATCACATGAATACAGCAGTGGAGAACGTGTGTCTGTATTAATGTTGGTGTTCCGCTGCAGTGTTCCATGGTTCACATTGACTGTGGTTTAGTTCCTTATGAAACAGCACGTCCAAAAAGACATTAATTAAATTAAATTATAATTAAAGACAAAAGAAGTTCGAAGGGAGGCGGATAAAGAAATGACGACATGTTTGCCCCCCTACTTCTCCAGAAAGTGCCGACCATAGGGGTCTCCGCACTGAACTTAGCCAGCCTGCTGTGTGACGAGGTCAGCCTGGCAGGCTTCGGCTACAAGCTCCACCAGCGGGGGGCGCCGCTGCACTACTACGACCAGCTGACCATGGCCGCCATGCTGAAGCAGAGCACTCACAATGTGGACAGAGAGACCAAGCTGCTGCAGAACCTCGTCAGCGAGGGCGCCATCACGGACCTGACGGGTCCGTGATGGCGCCCCCCCTTTCACACTGGATAAAGAGCTGCGGACGAACTAACGCAAGGAAAGAACTCGGGTCAGAAAAAGACAAACTATTCTTTTGTGATAATTGGGCAAAAGTGCTTCTTGAATATCAAAATGAAATTGAGGTGATCCAGGATGCTGCAGCCTATCGGGCTACACGTCGCTCAGTATTTTGATCTGAAGTTGCCTAATGAAATGGCCTCGTCCCATCCACTCTTTGAAGAAACCAGCCAAGGGTTTTTATTTGCTGACAGAATAGACTAAAGGTGGAACATGTAGAATTTTGATTGACCAAAGGCTGGAAAATAGGAAGGACTCAACTGAGCCACAAGGCGTCTCGCACTGGTTCTTAAGACATTCTGTCCATTCTCAGATCTTGAATGAGTTAAATATATTCAAAATGCATTTTGAAGAAGTAAAGCATGTTAATGTTTAATGGTTACACTGGACAAAACAGTACAAGCGGGTAGTACTTGAAGTACTCTTTTTATGTGTTAACAGAGTTTAAAAATGTTCTGTGTTTCCTGCAGAATGCTGTGACATAATACAATATTTGTCATTCCACTGACAATCAGCAGTTAACACCTTAGACATGACTTTTTTTAGCTTTGTCTGTCCCCAGAAGTAGCGTAGCGTAGAGAAAAAGAGAGACGCAACCTCTAAGCTGTGTATGTTTTACGGGGGTGTTGGCCTGCCGTCTGATGTAATTCGGAGTTGCTGCTGTAATTATTATTTTTTACTAAATACTCCTCCCTCCATCATTGTGCTTAATACTTTCGCTCACTTACCAAGCTATCAACTAAAATCTTCCGTTATTTCATTCATTAACATTGATGACATACTCAGCGTGGTTACATGGATTCGAATAACTGGCTTAGTTGGACTGAAATCAAATTATCCGTTTCATGTAAACACCTTTGTCCGACTATGTGCGGCCCGACTACGATCCGACTATTACCCCTGGATAAATCGATCCGATCCAGTTGATAGTTTGACTATTGCGGCATGTAACGGTGAATCGGATAAGGAACTGAACTTTGCGTCTTTGCGCATGCTTGAGATCCCGACGGCGTCTTCTCTCCGTTATCAAATCAGCCGATAGCGCCATTCGCATCCGCTGTACTCCTATTAACATCATGCACAAATAGTAGAGGGATGTGGCTTCACCTTGCTCTCCGTTCGCCATCTTTCTCGTAATGTTGTAGTTGTTGTTGGTTGTTGTTGGTAGTGGTGAAGAGGTCAAGCGGAAATGGCTGTATCACAACTAGTTGTAAAGAAAACAGCGCCACCTATCGTATCGGGTATGACATGCTTTGGGCCAATGATTCGATTTATTCACTGCCATGTATATTGGGATAATAGCACCTCCCCCCGAAAAATAGCATAGTCCGACTAAGCAAAGATTTGAATTATACCATTATGTAAGCACACTGACGGTGATTTGATTGGTGTGATGCCAACGACTTCCTGGCTTTCCTTGACCCTTGCAAAAAGTCGAATAAAGAAATCCAGGGTAAGTGATAAAGCGCAGCTTGACTCGTCGGGGCTTAAATCGGTTGCACGTTTGCCGAGCCGGGATGAGAAGAGGGAGCTAAGTCAATCCAGCTGTACATAGCTGTGATAAGTGCACGTTCACACCTTTCTTAAATAGACCACGGTATCGATCACAGATTTACTGATGCAGAAATGGAGAAGACGCAGCATGCAGCCCTCTTCATACATACACAATCACCCATTTATACGGGCATATGTGGACTGTATTGTGGAAATCCTCTTTGATGTAACACATTCTTCTGTGGCCAGGTAAGGTAATAGCGATGTGTGCCAAGGACTTCAGTGCCAAACACACACTTCTGACAGTGCGGCAAATAGTGTCTTCATTGACAGTTTCGGCATATAAAAACATGACGCTTGCAAAAAAAGCTTAGTGCCATACAGAGCATCTGTGGGATGGGGAGAGCTTCACGCTGATCTCATCTGTCCCCAAACATCCTCTCACGTCTGAAAGCACGTCTCAATATCAGTGCTTCTTCATCCAAAACGTGGTTCAGAAATGGGCATCATGGTGCAGGAAGAAACACAGGTGAATGGGACTTTATATATCGCCCTCATCACGTTTACAATTGTTCACTCCTCACTGTGCAGTTTCGCCAAACAACGCACACGAGGTGTTTATTATCCGCCCGACCTTCTTGCGGTCCGCGAAATATTGTCTGACATGAAAACGGTCCGTGAGGTAAAAAAGGTTGGGGACCACTGATTGAAACAACTTTTTTTCATCAAGGGAGGCCAACTCCGCTTGGGCTCCTCACAGGAGGCGAGGCTGTCTGAGGCGACAGAGCGCAGTACCATGTTTTTAAAGCTCATTCACCACGTAACATCTAGAGGGGCGCTGTTTCACATCATAACACGCTCAATAATGAATGAAGAGAGACGAGGAGACGACAGAAGGATTACGTAAACTGTTAAAGTGTTTTTATTAAATGGCTAATCATTAATGATGATTCAATGAGTTATATTCTGACTCCGGCTTCCCTTCTTCAGATGATTTGTGACACTTTTAGTTTTAATATTTCACTGCTGCACTTTTTTTTCTGCACTTCTCCAAAATGGCCAATCTGTGAAAAAGAAATTGTGCACACATGAAATGTGTTATGTATGGACTCTTGTTTCTTTAAACGTGCATCATTTTCATTGTTTGAATTGCAGTTGCACACAAACATCTCGTGACATATTGTTCCTCCAGAAACCTTCATTACAGGGAGATTGTCAATGCTTGTTTTCATTCCAATGTGTAATTAATCAATACGGATTATTAAACGGAAGGAAATGACCGTAGCTACCTGCACCACTCGTATGTGACCAGATTTGTGAGGCTTTCCCTGTTTCTTTGATCGGTGTAGCGGCGTTCCTTCAGTCACGAACATTATTAAGCCGCAATTGAGCTGCAGACACACAACACGTTTGTACTGTTGTTTGAACTTTATTATTAGAATGTACTTAGAAGTGACTAGATGGTCTCAGTGTGTAATTGGGGGATTTGTTTTCATTGCAGTAATCATTAAGGAAAGATATGGAGTTTGATATTATCTTTTTTTGTAGAAGAAGCAGTGCCACGGATGATTCTTGCTCTCGACGATGCACAAAGGGAAGGACTCAGGTCACTGGGTTAGAGCTTACGATTTGCTACTCAGCAACTTCACATCGGAGACGGACTCTGCGGACAGAAGCACGCGTACATTGTCCTTTGTCCTCCAAGTGCTTACAACTCCGACCAATTGCACTCTTGACAAAGCTGTCAGACTTCAGAACAGATGACAATTGTGTCTCTTATTTGCTGATTGTACAACAAAAGGGACATACTATGCAGCAACACAGTGAGTGGTTGCTAAATGGAGGGCTATGATGTTAATTCAATTTAAACCGAAATGAGATTTTGTCCGCGTGATCTGTTGCGTTAGCAGCAAGCGTTTCATATCGTGCCTCTTTCGTGCAAAATGAGCGGAAATCGAACTAATTCGCCTTCAAAATGAAGTACAAATAAACATCCTGCAATGGTCTCGCCGTCAAAAGGCCACTTGGAGGACAACGGTAGTATTTTTGTTTGCGTGAAACTCTCCCAAATGTATTATTGCACGCTATCACACACCTACCATGTATCTCGTTTATTCATCTTAAGAAAATGTTTTGAGAAATAATTTTAATTTGAAACATTTGTCCGGAAGTTGTAGTGTTCTTTACGCAGAAGCACCGACAAGAAGCCGGGAGATCCGCTGCTAACAGGTGGGAAGCAACTTAACGCGTTACTTCTAATAAGTCCGCTGATGTTGGCGTTTTAATATCAAGCCACAAAAATGTCCGTTTGTTTGTTGCCTTGTTGTACCACATGTTTTACATAAATACATACATGTAGCGCGCACAACGCATGGGACGTTATTGAAAGCGAAGTCAGGTCGGAACTATTCAAATATCTGGCAGTGTTGTTAAACATGAATACTCTTGCTAGAGACTGTTGTGTACAGACATTTTCTTTCAATTTGGCGTAAACATGTCTAAATGTTTCATTCTGCCATCACCGTGGCGCGTTGCAGCGCGGAGTGTGCGCGGTAACGCAGCTGTAACGTTACATGGACCGTTACTTCATGGACGGGGTCGGATCATACATTTATAACTTAACTTAACTCAAAATGGCTTCAGACTCATTTAAGTTCAACATTCTGTACGTGTTGGCTACCCCCCCCATTTAAAACCCAACGGGCGGTTTTGCCAGGCTCGCCTGGCGGCGGCTCGCTGGTGTGTGTTCACTTCTGTGTGGTAGTCGTGGCGGTACTGTGACGTGAGTAAAGATACAACAACATTCTGTACAAACCGAGTAAGAACATCCCTCATGTGGATAAAGTGTCAACATGACGACCGGTCTCCTTGACACGGGCACTGCCGGTTTTAAGGCGAAAGGTGACTCGTCACTGATTGGCTGAAATCCCTGAACTGAGCCATCTGTCATTGGGTCCTTGCATCCGCCCCCGCCTTTTGTCTTCTGTGTGTCGTGGCCCTCGTGGCTCTCCTCGGCATGCACGCGGATGCACTTAGTGCCGGATGAGCACTGCGGGTCACGTGCCTTCATAAAATCACAGGACGACTTTGATTTGACAGTCGCTGAAGGACATGTGACGTGTTAACGTAGTCGGAACGTGGTGTTCCTGTATGTGTCGGAGGTACTTCGTGTATTTAGTCACGTCCATGCATTCCTTTTTAATTTTGTACAAGTTCATCATATTGATATGCAGTGATGCCAAAACATTGAGAAACTATTCAAAAAAATTCTACATAGAACATTTTTTTCATGCTAAATATAACGATTATCTACAATAGTTATTATTGTAATATAACCCACAACCGCGAGTCCCTGATCCAACCAGTGTCTTGAATTCCTGCCCTGCTGTATTTCACTGTATTATGTTATAATACACACACACATACTTATTACA